TAAGTTGGGCGGGGGTCGTGGTCACGTCTGTTCTTGGCAGAATGCTTCTAACTAGTATTTCAGGTAGATTCTGGATGTCTATTTTTTCTGCTTTTGTTATTTTTTCATTTTTCTTAGATTCCCCTGCCAGCGAGGCGGGGCATATCCTGTGATCTACTGAACAGCCCTCGTTGAGGGCATACTCACACTTGCCCACAGACAAATGTATTTACTAATTTCAGGGCCAAATTCATGTTTCGTTTCTTTTTTCTTCTTTGAGATTCATTTCTTTGTTTTTTTTTTCCTTATTTTACTTTTGGATTCTGACAGAAACGCCACGGGGCTGATACACCCAAACTGCGACGTGCTCACATTAGTACTCAGGAGAATGCATCCAACTGCATTCACATCCACAGCGTTGTTGTTTGTTTTTTTGTTTTGCTGTTTTTGTTTTCCAACTGGTCCCCCCAGCCTCGGCCCGTCCAGCTACTGGTACTGCCAGGCTTGGCAGGCTCAACACACCGGTCGCTGGAGGCTCGGACTTCATAGCTGGGCCAAGTACTGGTGGTTTAAGAATGTCGAACCGTTGCCAAGAATAGACGACCTATTGGATAGCGTGCAGGGCTGCAAGTACTTCTCCAAGATTGACTTGAAGTCGGGGTACCACCAAATAGAGGTACAGCCCGATGACTAGCACAAGAAGCCCTTTAGAACACGCTATGGTCATGTCGTTTGGTCTGACGAACTCCCCTGCTTCCTTCCAAAGATGCATGAATGATCACTTAAGAGAATGGCTTGATAAATTTGTAGTTGTATATTTAGATTACATTCTGATATTTAGCAAGTCGCTAGCGGAGCATCAGCAACACCTTCGTCTAGTCCTAGAGAGGCTGTGCAACCCGAAGTTTAAGTCAAGTCCGAAGAAGTGTGTGTGGGCCAAGCGCCAAGTGTTGTATCTTGGGCATTACTTGATGGAGTTGGAGTCCGGTCGGGAGATGCAAAGATAGCAGCAAGTTGTGACTGGCCAACGCCGCACACGCTGACGGAACTGCAGTCGTTCTTAGGATTGGCCAATTATTGTCGGAAGTTTGTGCGAAACTTTGAAGTTGAAGTTATGAAACCGCGCGTTCACTGAACGTGGGTTTTCCGTTTTGAGCAGTTGAACG